CAAGGAACTGGACTTCTAAAACATGTAAATAAAAGAAGAGATAAGGGGACAGAGTATGTACATTGAGGCCATTTGCCAAGCCAGAGAGCAAGGCTTGAGGATATTCACACAGGAAGAGGCTTCTTGAAGATTTATTTTGTACCATTACATTTTCACCATACTTTAGTCTTTCAATAAATAAAACAGAGTAGTGGTGATTTAATTTTGTATGCAATTTACCATTATGCAAGATGTATGTTCACAAAATAGTGAGATGCTGTTTGTTCTTGCGGGAAGGCCTTGCTGTGTGGTGCACTGTACTGGCCTAGTGCACAGTCTCCCACATGACGTCCCAGTTTCAGGATTTCTTTACTCTCCCCTGCCTTAGGCAGCATCAGTATCAGTAGTCTAAGTTACAAGCATTTCCCCAAGATGGGATCTAGCCTGCCCTGCTTCAGTGAAACAGTGATGCTTTCAGAGTTAGGATCATTTCTGACTTGGAAAAATGAGACATGAGACATGTGTGCCATCATCCTGGGCTCGGGCCTCTGGTGATGAATACAGTCCTGCTAACTCTACTTACATCAGTGCTGTCTATGGACTCTCTGGACTGTTTGTTGTTGCTTACCCCTGGCCACTAAACCTAACTGGAAATGTTCATGACTGACTTTCTAATAGAGCCTGACTGGAAGTGAGGCCACTGACCTGGGGAGTCACCACTCTGGTTCTGGCTCACAAGCCCATCCACTCCCCTGCAGGGCTAGGTCACCATTTCTTATCTTTCTTTCATCCACCTGACTCCACTCATCTCAGCTGATGGCTTTGCATCATATTTCACTGAGGTAATGGAAGAAAATTTCCTTCCTGCCTCTTTCATAATCTGGTGATTTTCTTGACTATCTTCAGCATGCAAATCTAACCACCTTTCGCCAGTTCCACACCACTCACCCACAATCAGCCTTGCATGAGTCTCTGACAGCACTCACTGTTCCTACCACTGCCTATGTGTGTGCACCTACAAACACACACACACACCACCACTGCCACCACCACCACCACCACCACACACATACACCCACACTCTACCACCACCACCACCA